AAAAGCTGTAAACAACATATCAAAACCCAAATATATTGTAGGTTATTAATAGCAACAAAGATACTATTTAACCAAAAAAAAAAAAACATTTCCAAAAAACAATTTCACATGCCCTTTGCCTCCAAATCCTTCTCTACTTTCTTTTTACCTTTCCAATACTAACTACAAAAACACATAAATCTAGGGCATGCCCTTTGCTTTAAGAAGACCCATAAAACTCATAAAAAAGGACCAATTTCACACTTAAAAATCATTATTCCCATACACTTTCTTTAGGAAGTCCCCTTCTCAAGACACTCCTCCATCTACCCCCACTCACTTTATATAGAATAGAATGAATTTATATATAAATACTGGTTAAGATATAGAATACTGATAAATTAAATGTGACAATACAAATTTTTTTTTTTTTTTTTTTAGGTCACACAATGATTTGATGGCTACCAATGCCAACTTTTTGGTATGAGGAAAAGAGTCGTTTTCTCAAGTATGCTTAGTTTGAATGAATAATGTGATCGTGCACATTCTGTATTGGTTTGGTCCACACATTTCTGCTTAATCTAAACAAATTTCTTCAATAGAAGGGAGAATACATCGTACCTATGGCCACTCTTTTTCCATAATATTCTTCAAAATAAATAAATAAATAAATAAATAAAAATTGAAATAAGAAACCTCATATAAAAAAGCTTCCCCACTTTATTGATCACTCTTTGTTCTTTTTATTTCAAAAATTCATAATCTAAACACATTCAACATGAGTGCCAATAGTTCATATTACCCCATGTAAACACCAGCAAATTTCCCTATAAAATGATCACGCATTAAAATTATTAAAAAATCACACATGATTTATTTATTTTTATTTTTTTTTCATTTGAAATCTTTTTCATATAGGAAACTTTATATATTTTTTCAACTAAAACTAAAGATCAAGGGAATGATCTAGTCTAGTGAATGAACTGCTTTCTTAGTAGGCACATGCTTGAATTGAAGGCTTATCAATGTGCTCTACAAAACTTTTTCTTCCCTATTCTCCTAAAGTAAAAGTTGTAGTTTTTTGTGGTGACAAAAATTATACTATTTTATTCTTATGTTACATAATTTTGCAGTTTTATTACAAAAATCATACCATATCATATCCTTATACAGGTCCACAATGAATTGAGATATGTCAAATTGGCTTCTTATTTGGGGTGCCACCTAAACAGTTGTTACTGGTTTTCCAAGGATTAAATCATGAGCATTAACATCTCATCTTTAAAACTTTCTCACTACGAGATTGACTCTCCAACAATGTGCAACAAAACCCTTCACATTTTTCATTAATGATGTGATCAAGGAAAGTCATATTTTTCATTAACTTCTATCAGTTCCCAATCAAATGCCTTTCATTTCCACCTGAAAGTTAAAAGGCAGTTAAGGGACATTTCAAGTTGTATAATAATGTTTCGAGATTTTCACTATATCGTTTGACTAAATAATTTTTTTTTTTTTTTGATTCAAAAAAATAGATATGCAAATAGGCTACTCCAACATATTCGCCTAAATTTGAATACAGAATTTCATGCCCAAGGTTGTCACACTAGTTTTAGATGCATTAGGACAGACAAATTAATATATATATATATATATATTCAATACAAAGATCTAATGTTATATTTCAGTAGTTTTAAACATGAAGCCTCTAGTATGGATATGCTTTACTTTTGGAAATGCAAGTGGAAGTTGTTAGAAGGTTTTATAAAGGGGCACCTGTTGGGTGAATGATTGATTGGTCAAAAAGGTATGCTACTCTTTATTCAATTTTCTAATACTTGTCTTGATCATCAAAGTGATTGTGAATTGTTTCTAAAGTGAACTTGATATATGGGTCTTGGAAAAAGAGAGTTTGTGGGGTCATGTAAAGTTTACAATATCACCATTGTCAATTAGGAAGTCAGTCTAGGATTTGTAAATTACAAACCTAAGAGGTTAAAACATCAATTATTTTCTAAGACCCGTAAAGGCAACTAGTTACATGGGGTTCTCTAAAAATTGATTGTCTATGTAATATTCTCGACAAATGAAAAATCACAATACATAATAATTGCTTCATCTTTTGTTATTCAACTATCTAACAAAAAAATGAGTCAGAATATCCGTCACGTAAAAAGTTTTATTACGTAATTGATTTAAAGCACCATATAAGTAATATCATTGATGATGCAAAATTACTAATTGTGAGGACATGGTAGGTGGGTAGAACTTATTTTCATTTCATTTCAAGCCCACGAGAAAGATACTAATTGCATCATGTTTTGTCACCCAACTATCTAACAAATGTAAGTCATATACATAAAAAAAATTTATTACGTGATTGATTTAGAAAGTAATGTCATGTGATGATGCAAAACTTCTAATCGTGAGGACATGGCAGGTAGGTAGAACTGCATTTTCATTTCATTTCAAGCCCATGTGAAAGAGACTAAATTCATATGGGTTTGGACCCCCCCATCATTGTTGTCTCAGATCAGGTTTTGAAATTGCACAAGGAGGCCTTGTTTGTGTTTTAGTAGAGCCTCTAATGTGAAACTGGGGTACAGCACTTGGCTTTTTATTTTGGTTTTGCTCATTCTTTGTTCGATTGTGTAGTCATTACTCATTCTTCGCCCACTAAGTATTTGCACCATGCAAGTGACAAAAGTGTGCACAATCCTACACGGTTTTCACTTAAATTGGACGCACATTACACTTGCTCCTGACAAAAAATTACAACAATAGGGAAGGGGGTGTGGGCTTGTGGCGGAGGGTTTGTGTGGTTCTAGTGGCTATGGTTTGGCTCTAATAGATCGTTGATTGGGAAGGGTGGTGAGGCGTGTATGGGTGGAAGAGTGGAGGGAATGGGTGGGGGAGGAGTTAGGAGTGGTGGGAGAGGGTGGGGGAGGGGCTGGGCTGCTGGCCAGAGTTACAAAGGAAAAAAGGTGAAGAAGGGGGAAGATGAGGACAGTTAGGTAAATTCAGGTATGATTTCCAACCGCTTTGTAAAACTTTTTATTATTTTATCGTCTAGCCCTAGCACTGTTTTACAAACCTGATAACACTTAACAAATGTATTATCCAAATACAACCTTGAGAAAGAGACGGATAAATAAAATGAAAACAACTATAGATGTCTTGCTCTGGTTTGTTTAGGTTGCAAAAAGGGAAACCCATAATATTTCATATGCCTTGCCCAAAGGCTTCATAATAGTTAACATAGCAATGATAGAAACAACTACTCTCCCCCCACCCTCCTCCAGAACAAACACAACTGTCATCATAAGATACTTTGCCCAAAATCCTCTCCCTTCTCATACATTGAATCCACATAAACCTCCTTTTGGTTGTCAAGAATATGGAAGAGAATAGGACCAGACTTTGGATCTAGGCCTCTGCTTGGCAGTGCAGTGTGTGCCAATAATTGCCCATCCAACAATATCCCCAAGTACAGCTTAAGAATGACTTGGATATCACAAACTAATAAGAAAGACATCACTATAAGATAGATGCAATGAACAACATCAATTCAAATATTTCAGAACCTACAAGAAAGAAACACTTATCATAAAACATAGAAGACCCAAACAAACTGACAACAGGAAGAAAGAAAAAGGTTCATTTAACAGGTTCGGAGCTAATCAAAAGATTCATTCTACCCCCATGAGGACACACACTACATCTAATCGACACATTCCCAACAAGACACCATGACCGCTTGTTTATTCTTCAATGATTTTGTTTATTCTTTGTATGAAGAAACCATTTCCATGTTGTGCCTTCTTTCCTTGCAGCGACTGCCCTAAACAATACAGCAACAGAGCTGAATAGTACCCCAAGTCCCAACACTCTGACCAGCACTCAACAAGCAAGCTTGCGATGCAGACTACCTAAGAATATTCAGTAAGTAGAATCATTACCGGGACTATCTGCATGCATGTCCATGGAGGAATCATTGGAGTTGTAGGAATTAGAATCTCTGTTCTGGTGTTGCACAAAGGTCGGTTCATTGTTTCTAAATCCATTTCCTCCTTGAGCGATATGATAATTCTGAAGGCTGAGACGAACAGGGCTTGAAAGAGCATTTGAGAAAACATAGTTCTTGGACTGCTGATCACAGTGAAATCCCTGCCCGACACTTGGTGCACCTGATGATCCTGAAGAGACCAAAATACCTGAATTTGTCAAGTGCATTGTCGGCTGTGAATGCTGATTCTGGGTTGGCAGCGCTCTGGGTGACATTGATGGCTCCTCTCCACAACAGTCCAGCTCAGTCTGCATCGAGATCTCTAAATAAGTTCCAAACACAAAGATAAAACGGAGAAAAAAAAAAAAGGTCAAATAAACAACATAACAGATCTCAGGCCCATCAAAATAGTATATATATATTGTCAAGATTAGATGAAGGGTAGTTGTGTAATTGTCTACTTATCACTTATTGATATAAATATACCTAGTTAGAGAGGACAAACTATTGATTAGGTTTTGTGCCTCCTAACATCGTTCTTCTCTCATCTTCTCTGTGCCATCATCTTTTCTCTTCCTTCTTAAATTTCTTCTTCTTCTTTTTTTTAACTTGGTATCAGAGCTTTGCAAAATTTCTATGTTTTTTTGTCTTCCTGGTTCTCCTTTCACTATTCAATAATGTACAAAAAAATAAAATAAAATAATTCCCAGCATGCTCGACGAGGCCTGGGGATTGTCCAAAAAAAATTTCAATTTTTTTTGAGATCTTCTTTGCCTATTTTTCGATTTTTTCTTTATTTTTTAGAATAATGGATTGTTTTTTCAGAATTGCACTTCTAGCCTGTTTTTGCTTGATTCAAGGCTTGGGCTCCCTTCTCTAGGAGTCGACTAGGCTGTTTAGAGCCTTCCCTAGCTTCAGTTTTCACTTTGGGATATTTTTTGGTTACTGTTGGTCCTTCTGGTTCATCCGGGTGCTGTCTGGCCCGTTTCTGCTGTTGTTTAGGCTATTTCTGGTCCTTCCTGGTTGTGTTTTTTGGTGAGAATTATATTTCCAGAAAAAGTTTCGTTCTCTCTTCATCTCTATTTTAATTTGGTTGTGGTCTTAACTAATGGCTGCCGAAGGTGTCATTCTTGCCAGCAATGAGACTACAAGTTTAGGTCCTAGTGTGATGCTTGGTGACAACTCTTCTCTTCAACTTACTTCTGTTAAGTTGGATAGCACCAATTACTTAGTGTGGTCACGTTCCTTTCAGTTGGCTATTACTGCTCGCGGCCTGTTGGGATACATTAAAGGCGTTACTAAGGCTCCCACGGAGGATGGACCAGCACGTGACAAATGGAATAAGGAGAATGCCCTGGTTATGACTTGGTTACTCAATTCTATTCATTCTAATGTTAGTCGGCCCTTTGTTTTGATGGACACTGCTCATGAGATTTGGGCTGCTGCAAATCAGATGTATTCCCGACGAGGTAATGATGCTCAAGCCTATGAACAGCGGAAAAAGATTCGGGGCATTGATCAGAAAGACAGATCTCTCGCTGAGCATTATTCAAAGTTGAGTAGTTTGTGGCAGGAACTTGACTATTATGAAAAAATTTCAAGTTGTGTGTTCCCAAGATGCAACTATGTTTCAGCATATGGTGTCCAAAGAGCATTTGTATGACTTCCTTAATTCACTTATAGATTCGTATCGATTTTACAAAAATTGTTAATCGAATCGCGAATCGAATCGCGAATTGTAAGATTCTGATAACATAGCTTCCTTGCTAGTCTCAACATGGAGTATGATCCAATTCGTGTTCAGGTCCTTGGTCGTGATCCATTTCCTACCATGCGTAAGGCCTATGCTTATGTTCTGCAGGAAGAAAGTAGGCAGAGTGCCATACCCCTTTAGGATCGCTCTACTCTAGCCGTCTCTTCTGCTCTTACAGATGCAAAAGTTGGTCAATCCAAGTCTAGAGGAAAAGGCTCCTCTAATGATCAGATCATTTGTGATTATTGTGGGAAAGAACGCCATGATCGGGACCATTGTTGGAAGTTGCATGGTCGTCCTACTCGAGGACGAGGTGGTGGTCATGGTCCTTGTGGTGGTACCGTTTGCTCTCATGCACATCTCTCAAAGTCATCTCCTAATAATTCGAGTGATCCTACAACACTTTCCCAAGATGAGTTACATACTCTCCGGCGTCTGATGGCTCGGCTTGATTCTTTTCCTACCACTACTTCTGATCTCCCTTCCTCCAACTTTGCTTCTATCGGTATTCCTTCGCGTGCCTTGAGTGTTGTTTCATCATCTCCTTGGATTATTGACTCTAGTGCTACCGATCATATGACAGGTTTGTCTAATCTTTTCCACTCTGACTTCCCTTGTTCTGGTAAGGAGAAAATGAGAGTTGCAAATGGGTCTTTATCCTCTGTCTCTAGGATAGGCTCTATTCATTGTTCTCCTTCTATTTCTCTATCATCAGTTTTACATGTCCTAAATTTTTCTACGAACTTGCTCTCTATTAGTCGTCTTACCACTTCTTTAAATTGTTCCATAACCTTTTATCCTTCTCATTATGTCTTTCAGGAACTGGATACAGGGAGAACGATTGGCAGTGGTAAAGCACATGAGGGCATGTATGTTTTGGATGCTGAATCTTCCTCCGCTAGACAAGCTCTCAGCCCTCCTGGCCTCTCACTTTTACATCAGTGACATCAGCGTTTAGGGCATCCCCCATTTTTGTTTTAGACAAACTTCTCCCTAGTTTAGTGAAGCATTGTGATAGGAATAATTTTCATTGTGATGCTTGTGAGTTTGCCAAGCATAAACGTTCTTGTTATCTTCCAATTAATAAAAGAAGTTTATTTCCCTTTATGGTTATTTATTCTGATGTATGGGGTCCTTCTCATGTAATGTCTGTGTCTGGCTGTCATTGGTTTGCCACTTTTATTGATTGTTATTCTCGTGTCACTTGGATATACATGCTTCGTACCAAGAGTGAAGATTTCTCTTGTTTTAAAACATCCCATAAGATGGTCCATACTCAGTTTGCCAATCTAATTAAAGTCCTTCAGAGTGACAATGGCACTGAATATATTGATGGTGACTTTCATGCGTATCTCGAAGAAAATGGTATCCTTTATCAAACCAATTGTGTCGGTACTTCTGAACAAAATGGTGTTGCTGAATAGAAAAACCGTCATCTTCTCGAGGTTGCTTGTGCTCTTATGTTCACGATGAAAGTTCCCAAACCATTCTGGGGTGATGCGGTTCTTATCGCTGCTTATCTTATTAACCGCATGCTTTCTAGTGTTCTTCAGTTTTAGCGCCCTCTTGATCTTCTCCCTCACACTTCTGTGTCTCCCATCTCTCCTACTCCTAAAGTGTTTAGTTGTGTCTGTTTTGTTCATTCCTCTCGCCTCACTCGAAGCAAACTGAACCCTAAGGCTATGCGTTGTGTTTTTCCTTGGTTATTCCTCCACCCATAAAAGTGTTATGATCCTTACTCTCGTAAATTCTATGTTACTATGGATGTTACTTTTTGTGAGTTTGAATCCTTTTTTGGGGGTCAATCTCTTCAGGGGGAAGCTTCTACAAAAGAGATTGTTTCTTCTTATCCTTCTGATCCTTTTTTCTCTATCATTTGTAGTGAGTGGGAGGTGCAAACTAAACTTATTCAAGGGAAGTGTAGTAGGTTGGATAGACTAGATCTCAAGACTTACACTCGGCGACAAAAAGAACAACAATCTCATGTGCTTCCATGCCCATTGTCATATCCGGATCCAGTTACTATTTTGTCTGTGGATCCTTCGGGTAATGAGTCCTTGGCCACTACTCCCATTCCCGTTGATGATCTTAATCTTCCTATTACTATTAGGAAAGGAGTAAGAACTTGTACTCGACATCCTATTTTTAATTTTGTGTCTTATGATTCCTTATCTCTATCATATCGTACATTTGTTTCGTCTTGTCTTCTATATCTATTCTGCAGGGTTGGAAGGAAGCACTTAATGATCCCAAGTGGAAAGAAGCTATGGCAGAAGAGATGAGAGCTCTGAGTAAGAATGACACTTGGGAGTTAATTTCTCTACCATCAAGAAAAAGCCCTGTGGGCTGCAAATGGTTGTTCCCCATTAAGCAACGAGCAAATGGAACCATTAAGAGATCTAAGGCGAGACTAGTTGCTAAAGGGTTCACTCAGACTTATGGCATTGACTATCAAGAGATCTTTGCTCCAATGGCTAAGATGAATTCTATCCGTGTCTTGTTTTCCTATGCAGCGAATCTGGGGTGGCCATTGCAACAATTGGATGTAAAAAATACTTTTCTCCATGGTGATTTAGAAGAAGAAGTGTGTATGGATATTCCTCCCGGGTTTTCCTCTCCAACTACTGCTGGGAAGGTCTATCGATTAAAGAAAGCATTGTATGATTTGAAACAGTCTCCTAGAGCCTGGTTTGACAGATTTCTAAAGGCGATGATTAGATTTGGTTACAAGCAGAGTCATGCAGATCATACTATGTTCATCAAACAGCGGGCTGATAAGATTGCTATACTTATTGTCTATATGGATGACATAGTTGTGACTGAGAATGATGTAGAGAAAATGTCTCAAACCAAAGCTCAACTTTTCAAAGAATTTGAAATTAAGGACCTTGGGCCTTTACGGTACTTTCTTGAGATTTAGATTGCTAGATCAGACAAGGGTATATTTATCTCTCAAAGAAAGTACATCTTAGATCTACTTGAGGAAGTAGGGATGTTAGAGTGTAGACCGGCAGATTCCCCTATCGAGGCCAATCACAAACTTAGCAGTAGTGATGGAGACTGTGTTGACAAGGTAAGATATCAGAGCCTTGTGGGAAGATTAATATACCTTTCCCATACTAGGCCTGATATTGCATATGTTATGGGTGTAGTAAGCCGATTTATGAAGAATCCACGAACAGATCATTTGGATGCAATTGATCGGATATTGAGGTATCTGAAATCAGCTCCAAGAAAAGGGATCTTGTTCTCTAATCATGCTCACTTGAGGCTGGAGGCCTTCACCGATGCAGATTGGGCTGGTGTAGTTGATGACAGGAGGTCTACTTCGATTATTGTACCTTTGTAGGCGGAAATCTAGTGACTTGGTGCAACAAAAAGCAAGCAGTTATAGCCAGATCAAGTGCGGAAGCAGAATATCGGGGCATGGCTAATGGCATTCGTGAACTTATGTGGCTTCAAATTTTATTGGTAGACTTGGTGGGCCAATAAGATTGTATTGTGACAATAAGGCTACTATTAACATTGCTCATAATCCAATTCAGCATGATAGAACAAAGCACATTGAGATTGACAGACATTTTATCAAGGAAAAAATCAGCAATGGAGTGATTCAAATGCCTTTTGTGAAATCAACAGAACAGTTGGCTGATATATTTACTAAAAGGTTAGGTAGTAAGGTTTTCCATCCCATTGTGTGCAAGTTAGGCATGAGAGATATCTATGCACCAACTTGAGGGGGAGTGTTAAGATTAGATGAAGGGTAGTTGTGTAATTGTCTACTTATCACTTATTGATATAAATATACCTAGTTAGAGAAGACAAACTAATTGATTAGGTTTAGTGCCTCCTAACATCGTTCTTCTCTCATCTTCTCTATTCCATCATCTTTTCTCTTCCTTCTTAAATTTCTTCTTTTATTTTTAACATATATATATATATATAGAGAGAGAGAGAGAGAGAGAGATACAAAGATCTCAGAACCAACATCAGCAAGAACTCTAAACTACAGAAACTAGGAAGAACTTGACTGCCCAAAAAATGCAACAAAAACCTCTAGAAAACTTGCATAATTCAGATAGGCAAACCATAAGCAGTTGAATTTATATCTAGAAAGCTTGCATAATTCAAATGAAAACCTGAAGTTATTAGATAAGCAAAACAAACAAAGGAATATGAAATTGAAAAAAAATCATCATTTGGTCTGCATCATCACTGCCAAGGTGCACCTCAGATTTATTTTCACAAGGCTGTTTGACTAAAGATTCTAAACTCGAAGAGTGGCAGTAAACAAAATACAATCATCGTCCTCCCTATGTGCTTGGCCAATTGTACAGGAAAAAAGCATAATCCAAGCATAATGAATTAATTATAGTAAGAACTATTACAGTGCATGAAACCAACTGCATCTTATTATTTAGAGCACACCAAAAAATATTTGAAATTTATTAACTAGTGTAATTCAAGTATTCATCATATCAATACTAGCGCCATGTGCAAGCCCGATGGGTGTGCTGTTAGAACTGCAAAAAGTTACAGGTTTTGATCTGAAGTTGATATGGGCAGTTATATAACGCAAGAAGTTACAGACAATTACATGAGGGTATTTTGGGAAAATAAAAAAAGTGACAGTCTACACCAACTCAGGTGTAGACTTTGTATAATAGTATAGATATACATCTATATTCGTTATCTAATGTAAGATATTTATATTCTTGGTCTTTTCTTCTTCTTTTTTTTCTTTTTTTTTAATTTGATTAATTGGTCCACTTATTCAGCAAATACCAACTTATTAATAAAATAAAACAAAAATTAGTAATCATTGTAACAATAGTATTCAGCTTCACCCTATTTGCCAAATTCTTTTCTACTTGTAATAATGCCTTCATAATATGTGCATAATAACAGCCCTCTGTTGTAAAAAGCCATAGGTTTTAAAACCCTCAACCATCAGAATTGAATATACTAAACCAAGTCTTGAGTCCCATCAATAAATCCTCATGAGACCAAGGCTTCCTCCCTTCAAAGTAAGAAATGGTAAAACCGACTTGTCTACCTCTGAAATTTCTCTCAAATCCTGCAACCTAATGATCGTGCGATGATAATAAGATGACTGGAGTGTTTAAACTCCACTCCATATTTAAAACTAAGTGTATAACCATGTGCTTTGTGGTAACTAACCACAACTAGGATAGCTATAAACCTTTGTTAACTAGCCAATAAAATGAATCAATTACTTCCTTAATGATGAGGAAGGATACATACAGAATAGCTAATGTACAAAATAATCCTGCTAGAGCATCCCAAAAGATTCATGGCCGCATGAAAGATTAACCTAAGAGCAGGTTTTAAAAGGTCCACACGGGACTCTCAGTATTAAAATAAAGAATCTAATTCTCAAGAACAAATCAAAGGGGAAGGACTCCAACAGAGGAGATGGATGCCATCAAAACAACATGCAATGATGATCACAGACTATAATCTGTGTTTGCATCAAGGAATATTTATCAAGACCTCATTAAAATTAGACAGCATTTCCCAATTCAGATTTGATGCCAAATCAGACAGCATTTCCAATGAAGATATGATTACCAAAGCAGACAGCAATGCCCAACAAGAATGAATGGATACCAAAGCTTTCTAGTAGGCAATTACTGTGATTTCAGAAAACTTTGTGAAGTGGCAGAATGGTTCCACCATACATCATTCAAGACACATTTTGTATCCCCCATATCGTTTAAATATATATCAGACATGCATATGTGGGCCCACAACGAAAGATAAAGAACAACAATCATAAATAAAAAATAAAAAGAGCTAAGAAAACAGTCAAGAAGAAAGCTAAAACCTGCAGGTGGGCTAGTATATCAACAGTGTTTACTCTTGATCCTCCCTCTTGTTGTCTCAAAATCCACTGATAAAGTTTTTCCTGCAAAACAAGAGATAAAGTTACAGCAGTGAAATGTAAGATTACTCTCCCAAGCAAGAAATTTAACAAATCAATGTGAAAACCAAATATCCAAAGATCTTATTGCATGAGACTCTCACTAAAGCAGAGTCTGGGGAGGGAAAGATGTGTGTAGACTTTCTACCCCCACCTGTTACCCTCCCTAAGTGAAGTGAAAACCAATGTGAGAACCAAACAACTATCACAAAAAAGATAGCAGAGTGGCATCCAACATTATCAACTTGTACAAGAATACCTCTTTTTGGGATGCTTCATAGTAGACAAAAAAAACATAATCCACCTAAGGAAAAAAAAAAAAAAAAAGGTGAAGCAAGAGTACATATTTATGCACATTGCCTAAAGTAGATGCAAAGCTAAACGAAGACAAAAGGACCTAGGCTGAGGTGGACAAGGGAGGCCTGGTAGGGGCGACCGCCACACCAAGTTATGGAAAAAAAAACTGTTAAATATAGTAGCATTAATTATGAATATTTTTAAATTGTATAGGTCCGCCCCGCTAAGATCTTCTTCTTCTAGCCCTTTTTGTGTGAAAGGATAATTAGCCTTACTTACAGGCTGTGTGTGAAAAGGTTGTTAGCCTTGAAGCATTGTGTGAAATTGACCCTATTATTGGGAATGTGAATTGGTCCCCGACTCTTGTCAACATCATTAGTTGAGTCGATCATTAGGGTAACAGTACCGTCTTAACTCTAATTCGAGGTTTGACGAATTACATTTTTACCAGGCTTGAAAGTTAAAATCTGCTACAACATCCTTATTAGGGATAATGTGTGTGTCCTTATATGGTATTTTGACTATAGTTACCTTCTTTTAAATATTTGTAGTGATGATTGATAAATAATGACTTTGACTTGGCATGTGAAAGACAAGTATGCCATGGGGGAAAAAAGAATGAAATGAGGAAAATAATGAGGATATCTAAAGGATTAAATTAGGATATGAATTATGTTCCATCGAGATGCACATATTCTTGATGCGTTTTTGGTGATTGTCACTAGTCTATCTATATTTGGTTTATTTGGCAGTACATGGAATTGTGTAAATTTTACCTAATAAATTGCATACATTAAATTGTTCAAAAAAAAAAAATTTTGCAAACTTAAGGAACATGATGTGTATGCTCCCTTGTGCATGTCATAAAATTGTTAATCGATGAGTTGCTAGCATGTTTACCATGACTACAATTCATGCTCTGTGCTACTTCTCTTGTATTGTACACCGCACTTCATATTTATGCATGCACTTGGGATGTTTTTGGATGACTGGGCTTTTACCTCACCCCTATTGCAGGTACAAACCAAGTTTGGTTAGAAACTGAGATTGAGTTGTATGAGGATGCATTGAGTCTATTCTATTTCTTTTTGTGAGGCTTTGTACTTATGATGTAAACTTTATTCTTTTGAGATCCTTGTGTTGTATAGAGAATAGGGTCTGTGCAGATGCTCTAATGTATTAATTGGACTGTACCAAATTTGGATATCCTTATCTTGGAACATTGAAATTTACATTTAATGAGGAATTTAAAAAGATAAGAAGAAAAAAAAAAAATTAGAAGCTTTTTGTTGACCTCATTTAGGGTGGTTGAACCCTCACCTATGCATGGACCTCTTAAATTAATTTGACCTTTAATTGCCTTCTTACCTTCTTCTAGTTCATCCAGCCAGGTTTTACAAATTCAAGGTGTGACACCCTCCCTTCACCCATCAGCAATAGAAGATTGAGACAGTTATTCCAATGACTTACAATTCATTCATTTGCATACTGCTTAGGGGAAGAGAGAACAACGTGGTGAACATAAGGATGCCATAGATGTTGCCCCAAAATCATATTCCCATACAAGATGTTAGTAAAATTAATTTTTTACTTCAACACAGAGTTTTCCCAAATATTGTTTCTGAATACATATTATCGCAAATTGTGGCATCATTTGGGCTAGGCCACTACGTTTTTCCTTCTACAAATTTTACTCGCTCCTAGTTTCTATTTTGCATTACTTTATTACTATGCTCATATAGCAACAAACCATTAACTTTGTATAGCAACAAATCACTCTCTTTTCTATAATAAACTCCAATAAAAAATTAAAAAAATTAAGATTGTAAGAAAAAAAGAAACATCCTCATCATCTAAAGTTGATCCAAATAATCTATAAATAAATCATTTGACTTTCTCGGAAGAAGAAAAGATATTTATAAGAAACAAAATATCAAATATTGGAGGATTGTTCTGTTTTAAGTTTACATTTAATATCTCTAAATGTCTTTACTATGACCTTTACAGGTCTTGCATAAACGAAAATTATATTCACCAGGTAATGAACATAACGACATTTTCTTTTTCATTTTTCTTTTCTTTCTTGTTTGGCAATATTTAAAGATTTTTATAGTCACCTTTTGGCTTGATTCCTTTCTACTTCTTCACCTATACATGCTTTAACTCTCCACCTATTATTTATCTCAACTGCAACAAATAAATATAGCCACCTTTTGGCTTGATTCCTTTCCACTTCTTCGCCTATACATGCTTTAACTCTCCACCTATTATTTATCTCAACTGCAACAAATAAATATAGCCATACTTTTGCCTCAATATACATGGGTCGCCCCAAAAATTAACATCTTCGGTTACTTATCAAGGGTATTGGAGAAGCAAGAGGAAAAAAGAAAAAAATTCTAACTCAACTATATTACTACATTTGTTTAAAATGAAATTCTATCATTTTGATGCACTCCTCTCCCCTCAAATCAAACCCTATCATAAAATGCTCTCTGCTCTTCTCAACATCAAAGGCTTCTATTGTCATTCTAAGAGCCTGTTTGGAAAGTGGCTTTTTAGTATCTTTTTGGCTAAAATATGAGATAAAAAAAAACCAATACGTTTGGGAAGAACTTTTTAGATTTTTATGGAAAAAAAAAGTGCAAAAAGTAGAGTGAATGAAAAAGAATCTTTGGTTTTTTTTTTGGCTAAATTCAATACTTAAAACTCTTTGATAGAAACTTAAAAGTTTTTATATCATTCATGATTTAAATTAATAACTTAACTGTTTATGTAGATTAGAATACATCTCTATCCCACTTGACTGGAATTTATAATTCAAGTATTATAAATTATAGAAATATCAATTCAAGTTTGGCGGTCAAAAATAAAGTGTGATCCTTACGGTAACCTATAATAGATTTAAATTATTTGCTCTAGCTACACTTGTAACTTTATACACACACATGTATAGGTATGCATGTGTAGCCTCGCCTAGTATTGGCCTCATCAATAAAGAGTGCCACAAGGAATGGACTGAGGCCATACCTAAAGCTGAGCCAACCTCCTTTCTTGCATTCAAGGCACCATGTAAACAAACAGTAGGCCCAAGTATGAAAATACTATCATGAAACAATTTGTTTATATTCTCTCTTGAGATTGCTTGATTGTACCTTCTGTGCTCCAAACGCCAAGTACAAAGTCTCAAATTTTTTTAAACAGATCGCTAACCACATGAATGACTTTGTTACATCCAGTTGTAATATATTCCTCCAGTAAAAAATAATAATAATTAATTTCAACAAAAGCTCAAATCATATATCTCATAAACAATCTGAAACAACTAACAAAGGTTGTACTGCATTTGAATGAAAAGAAACACACTCTGTGTTAGAAAGAGCAAAAACACCCAAGCCACTTTACCTTACAACAAATAAATAACAAAAATGATTGTCTACTTTCTTAACCTAAACAGTATTGTCATGGTTATCCAACTTGGTAAGTTTCCAAACTAATGGGTAATGTTAAGTCAATTCATTTCTCCACTCAAAGTAGCAAACAACCAAGCAACCCAAAGCATTACAATATAAAAAATTTAAAATTAATAATAATAATAATAATAGCAAGTAATTCACTTAAATAAGCATAACCCAACATCACAACATAAATAAACAACAAAGGGCAAGATAATCAGAAATGAATGAACAACATAAACCCATAAAGATAGACATAAAACAAATCCGAATCAAAAGATCTATGCAAAAAGACAAAATCAAATTGACGAACTAGAACAATTGAATTGGCGAACTTTGAACGCAAAATCACAAAGATTAATTGGTAATCAGGTGTAAAATCAAATCAATACCAATCCATGGCGTTCACCGGCCTGAAAGCTGAGTTTTTGTTGATTCATAGCCTGCGTGTAGAGCTGAGAGAGCGAGTTCGCAGCGCTACAAAACGTCGAGTACATGGTTCGATCAACCTCATCGAGGCTCGTAGCCACAGACTTTCTCTTCTTCCCCATAAATCTTCTCGATCTCTATAAAAATCCTAGAAATAAATAAATAAATAAATATAAACACTAATTTCTCTCCGGCAATCGGTGTGTCAGATTCCGGCGAGATTCGCGCCGGCGGTTCCAGAAAATCTCAGACTGTGTGTCGCGAAGAAATGGTTGGAAGAGTGCTCATGGTTTGGGGGTTTTATAGTTTTGATGCAGGAGAGGAGTTACAGATGAGGGTGCATGGTAACTATTGTGGAGTTGCATCTTACGTGATAGATCCCCAAAAAATTATTGTAAAATGAGTGGGGACATGTATGTGGAACCGGATGTGATAGGTAATCTAATGATCGTACACCGTTGGATTTGTGGACTTTGACATTTTTTTGTCAGGCTACAGCAGCAACCATCGTCGGGTACGAACAAGCCAGTGGGGTTGAGCAAGGATCCTCTCCTTGCATTATTTTTTACATGCACGGTTATTGGATCTATTTTTAAGTTTAATTTTGATAATTTAAATTATTTATATTTTAAGATTTGTTCAATATATCATATCTGTAAAAAATCAAGTTGATCGAATATTAAAAAGTATGTGTTCAGAAAAATCAAACTAAAAACTATTTTTTTTTTAAATTTAATAAACAGTTTTCCGAACGCATGTTTTCTGATATCCGATCAACTTGATTTTTTACAAGTATGATATACTGAACAAGTATTAAAATATAAACGGTTTGAACACATTTAATGGTGGTACTACGTGTACCAATTAATATATATATATATATATATATATATATTAATTGGTACACGTAGTACCACCATTAAAAAAAATATATTAATTAATGTACTAATTAGTATTATGATATTATTATTGAACACATTTATTATACAAATTACAAATATCTAAAATCATATAAATGATGTCACATCATCTATTAATACATTAATATATACATTAATTAGTACATATACTATTATTCTTTCTCAAATTTCTTTTCATATATATAATAAATGACATTTAAGATGATGAGTTGTTTATCGGGCTTTTATTAATATGTGCCTAAGAGTATATGTTAAGGAATCATTAAATGTATATAATTATGGGAGATTTATATGTAGATTTTAATAGATGATTTATTATTTAATAAGTCATTTGGGAATTAATGATATTTTTTATTAAATACTATCAAAAAAATCACTAATGTTGTGTTTAGTTGAGGAATTTAGAAAAAAAGATTTAGAAAATAAAATAAAAAAGCTATGTGAAATATAAATAAAATATATTTAAATTTCACTTAATTTATGTACATTTTTATTTTTCTTTTTAAATCCCTTCCTAAATTCTTCAATCAAACACAACGTAATTATTAATTTTTAGCAATAGTTTAAAAATTTGTTACAAAAAAGTCACTAATTATAAGTTTTAACAATAGTTTAAAAATCATGACAAAAAAAAGTCATTAATTTTCAACTTTCAGTAACAGTTTAAAAAATTCAAAAAAGTCACTAATTGTAAGTTTTAGCAACAATTTATAAAAATCATAACAGAAAAAATAATTAATTGTCGATTTTTTGTGACATGTAAAAAAATCGTCACCAAAAATTATTTTTAACAATAATTTTATTAGAACTTATTTTCAATAGGACTTTATGAGAATTAAATCCAAGTATTATGATTTATTGATAGTTTTACCGTACAATTATTCCAATTTTTATAGAAAATAACAAAAAATTAAAAACTATCTAGACTAAAGTAATTATTTTTATAAACCAAATGGCATTTTTGTTTTTCCTTCAATTTTACCCCTTCACCTCCCTTATTCTTTTTTCTTTTTCTTTTTTTATACCTTTTTCACTTTTTTTTTAAAATTTATCATTTTACATTTTTTTGAGATGATTCAAGCCCTCAATCAAGATCTGCTTGGACTACTTCGTCACTGTTAATAACTTGTGCATTTGATGTATCTTATCAATTTGTATCTTGGATATGTTTATGTGTGGGTGAAAATCTGACCACACTGCCCGTTTAGTGATCAGCTGGAGAGCACAAGCAGAATAGATGGCTTAAGCAACCTGAAACAGAAAGAAAAAAGTTCCGGCGGTGGTTCTTCCACCCGGGGGCACTCCGACGATCAAGTCAGTATATCTCTCAAAGATAATCAAGTGCAAAACTTAATACTCAAAACATAAATTGCATACCTTAGACCCACGGGCGTGCCTCTCTTTTATAATATACTCAATCCAAGTCCTACTAGAAGAATGACTTCTATGAACTCCAATTTAGTGCTTACTCTGGACTCTATAAGAGATAAAGATAAAACTCCCTAAGAGCTTTATCCTTATCTTGGTTAAGTCCCCTCTTTGTCTTAGGACTCTTTTATCTCGGATTCCGATATCTTCGGAGATGACCTCGGCTTCTCCGAGATTACCTCGGCTTAACTACCAAGGCACGTGACACCTCGGCTGACACGTCGGCGTCACCATGCCACGTGTTGGTATTCAGAAAATATATTCCCACAGTTTACATATATTTGTTTGATTTTTTAGAATATGTTTTTTTTATAAAATTTTAAAGGCCAGTTTGTTGGGGAATAAAAAATTGAACTCTTATTATTTTAATATGATTTTTTATTTTCTGAAACAGAAAATAAATTTTAAAAAGTTTAAAATATAATTTTTATATTTATTTATGTGAAACTAATATCTAATTTTTTAAAATAAAGTCAAAAAAAATAAATTTTGAAAGCCTCACCAAGCAAGACATTTTGCAACTGGAGCTCTTTCTAGCAATACCAAAATGTTGGTGGGACTCACACCATATTACTGTTAGTGTACCACATGATTTTTTTTAAAAAAAAATTTATTATCACACTGCATTTTGTTTTAATTTTTTTTATTATCACACTGCACTTTTTTTATTTTATTTTATCACCTCCCCGTACTGTCATTGGCATTACTTTGATCAATTAAAAAACTAAGGATACATTTGTCCAAGCATGAAATAAATACCTTCTCAAAAACACCATAGTTAAATCCCTCTATTCTATATTTTCCATACAAATAGAGGAAGTTAAAGTTATTTATTATTTTCTTAATATGTGTCCTTAGGAAAAATGTTACCAAGATCCAATTTTTAAACGGTAATGATACATCCCACTAAAAGTGGTGTTCTAAAGCACCACTAATGAGTTGGCAAACACTTTAAAAAAAAAAAAAAAAAAACAAGACACAAGCAGTGGGCCCCGTCCACTGCCACATCACTAGTGGTAGTACCACTTTTAGTGGTCTCAAGCATTATTGTTTTTTAAATTTAAAATTGTAATAATGCTACGTTTGTGTACTTTTTATTCTTAATTATTATTTCAAAAATGGTATGAATCTAAAATATATTATTAAATATTCTACCAAAATATTTATGCGGGTCCCATGTATTGTGGGGTCTCACATTTATGCGATTTGATAGAATATTTGATAATTTATTTAGGATTCTTAGCATTACTTTTGTAATTGATTTAAAACCAAGTTATCAAACACATTTAATAGTAATAACAATTGTTAACGAGTGTCCATAAATCATCATTAGTACGAGGATTGTAATAAAAAAAAATGCTTCGACGATATTGTTATAAAAAGAACAATACGTGCTATGAATTCAATTAAAGGTGTTTTAATTTCAACCAAAAATGTATTTGTATTTTTTAATTTTTTGTCTTTTTCTTGTACTCTAAAAATACTTGTTAACAAGATTCAATAATAATTAGATCAATATAATGGTGACAAATTATATTATAGCAACATTATTTAAATTTATCTTCACATAGTTTTAATAGAGTCAATTATGAGTCAAATTTAAGTAGTTTAAATTCTTTTAATACAAATTTAGAGGGTTATAAGCATATAAGTCTCGGAGAATCAATACCATTGAAAATTTGTTCAAACTCGAGTTAATCTTAAACAATTGGTTTTAAGTTGGACTCATTTTTTGCTCAAATGTTTAATTACTCGGATGAATCTATCTATCTTCCTTTTCCTTTTTAGATATTTATATAGGTTAATGTTAAGTCTCTTACTTCCGAAATAGTGAGATTGAGTTAAAAATACTCTAATGGAGTCATTAGTTTGCAAAACATGATGAGAATTTAGTGTCAAACATTAGTCCAATTGTTAATATAGAGAGAGGGGAGGAGAGAGTGAAAAAAGTGCTCCTTCACCCCCTAATTTACAAACACTTAACTTACAAATTTGGGTTTCACTTGTATTACATTTTTATTAATTAACAAATATTTTTTAACACACAAATTTAGTTACTTCATTAAAAATACCATAAGTCTTGTAACCTATATCAACAGAGGAAGCTAGATATTTTATAATTTTTATCCTGGAGAAGATCATACCTAAACCCCTATATGAAATTTGTTTAGGTTTTACAATAATAATAAAAAAATAAAAGTAAATATTTTGAAGCACTATCAAAAATGAAATATAAGTAGGTCCTAATTTGAACTATAAATTTATATATTAAATAACAACTATAAAAATCTTTTAAAATGTTTAATTGATTCACTTTGAATGTCATTTAAATTTAGCACATAGGGATAAATAAAAAAATAATATGGGCAAATTTGAAAACAAATTTTACATAAAATTAAATTTGTAAGTGGGGCAATTTTGAGAAATATTTTAAACTATAATTTTTTAAACTCTGTGGGGGAATTGCCCCACCTGTTTAGTATTTTATTTAATATTAATCAGTAAATGACTAATTAAGGGCAACAACTAGCTCAAAAGTTTTTGTATTGTTTCTTGCATATGTGAATGCCATGAATTTACAGCATTGATTGTTTGAGTTTTACTTAAAGCCAATACTTGGTTGTGTAAAAAGGTGAGGAAATTGCACATAAAGCATGGGAAAAGTGAACACAATAAAAAGGGAAACATTATGATACACATTTCTTAAAAAGCGTACATCATACGTGTTTTATAATTAAAAAATAAATTAATATAATTTTATATTTTTTAAGTCATAATTAAAAAATAAAAAAATATATCATAACTAAACATAATATAAGATATAACTAAAATAATATCATAATTAAAAATAAATATAATCTTTTAAAGAGTGAGTAGGGTAGAATTTTCGCACGAAAAATCCCAAATGCTTGATAGCTGGCTTTCTTTGTAGGGATGG